CCCTTCGCTTGCCAGCGGCTTGTGCTGGGGCCTGATCTTTGCCCCTCTTCGCCCGGCGAATGGCTGGGCTGTGCCTGGCCCCCGTGGTTTTGACCAGAAATCCCATCCCACTCTGGAGGTGAATTTCCCCCTGGGACCTTTGCCAGAACTTGAAGGTTTCTGCAAAATTCAGACAAATTGGTGTTTTTGTGAAGAGGCTGAAACTCTAAGGGTTCTCCCCAGTTAATCCCCAGTTGAAGGTGAAGGGGGCTGTGCTGCGGTCGTGCCAGCTGGGTTGAATCCTTGAAAGCAGGTCACACAAAATCAGTGGCCTTGCTTCAGGTGGGGGGTAGCTGTGCAAAACCACCCTGCCTGCCACTGCTGGGGTGATGGGGCAATCTGGGAAGAGCCGCTTAGGATGTGGGTTGTCAGGAGCTCTTGTGCAAGGAATTCTCCCTGCATAACTCACTTCTGTGGCTCATTTTTCAGCTGAAACAATTGCCACACAAGCTCCCTCCTGTAGCTGCCCAGCGGGATGCGTGAGCAGGCTGTTTGCACGATAGAGCTTACCCGTCTTTGTGCTGTGGATATCGGATTCACAGCTGATGGGAAATGGCCTGTGCTGTGCAGGAAGGCCACCTCCTCCCACGCCGTCTCCCCGTCTGCCTTTTCCCTAATGCGCTTTCTGGAAATATGCCTCCTTCCTTGGGGCTGGTCCCAGTGGAGGTTTAATGGGTTTAATTCAGCCACTATTGCAGCAAGGTGATTAATAATTGAAGAAATTAAGTCATTGCCGAATAGAGATGAAGGAAAGAACGAATAGAGGAGAGCACCCAACAAAGGACAGCAAGGGCCTTGCGATCTGCCTACCTCTGCCACCGCTCTGCCTGGCCAAAAGCATCCTGCTCCTGCATGGCCTCTCCAGCGCGCAGGCCTGGACTGGGGAGGGCTGGACCTCAGCCCCGAGGCGAGGGGCCATGAGGCTTGTGTTACTGCCTCCCTCTTTCTGAAGAGCAGAGTCACATCTTTGTTGTGGCCAGGGCTGAGTGACCATTCTGGGACCTGGGCTGGCCAACTAGGAGGCTCCTGCCCGGGCAGGAGCAGAGGAAGGTGGCTGGATGTGGGCCAGAACCGGCTGTTTTTACTGGCTGTTCCTGCCTCCCCCAAGACAGGCTGTGATGGGACGGAGCCGGGATCCAGCCCAGGGGCAGCTGCTCAGACCACCCTGGGCTGGCCCAGTCCACCCAAGTGGCTCTGCTGGGTTGTGCTTTGGGTCTCTGGCCCAGGCTTGGCTGCTCCACAGGGATCTGGGGGGGGGCTCCCTTCTGGTGGGACCATGTGCTTCCTTTTTAGGCAGCTCTGCAGGGATTTGTGGGCTGCTTTCTGGTGGGAGAGGGTGCCTTGCTTTTAGGCAGCTTCAGAGATGCTCTGGCAGTGGGGAAGGCACAGAGCTGCTCCTGTGCAGGGTCCTCTCTGCCTCAGGCTCCCTGGGGAGATGCTGGAGAAGGGCTAGTGTGCAGGGTAGGGATAAGGTGGGCTGGGCACCACTCCTCTCACTCAGCAGGTCCTTTTGGGACGCTGTGGCTGGGTTTAATCTGCTCGGTTGCTCTGTGCTCCTCTTGCTCCTGTCCAAGAGGCTGGACTGCAGCCTGGAGGCAAAGGGGAGAGCCTGTCCAGGGGTGTCTGGCCTCTGTGGGGACAGAAGGTGGCTTCCCCTGTGCCACCCGCCCCAGTGCAGCTGCTTTCACATTCCTGGGACAGAAGATCTTGACAGATGGCTTGGGCTATGGGCCATAGTCACCTTCATTGCTTTCAGTAGCTACCCAGGTTGTCTGCACCCGAGTGTCTTCTGCAAGATGGAGACCCCGGGTCTGGTGTCTGCTGGGGCATGGAGAGGTTGGTGGGTCCCCTCTCCTCTTTGGTCAGCCTAGTGCTCAGCAGCGTGTGTTGCCCAGCAAGTGCTGGCTCAGGCTGGGCAGGGGGGACTGGAGCTGGCCCTTCCTCCTGTTGCAGAGCTCCATAGGGCAGCCTCCCCTTGCTGCTCGTACGCCCCAAGGCTCCCACTCATAACAGCCCTGAAGGGGGCTGCTCCCTCTCTGCCAGGACATTGCTTCCCAGCTTGGGCTCAACCCAAAGGACCTGCAAGCAAAGGGGAAGAGGTGGCAGGAGAGGGGCCAGAAGGGACTGTAGGGGCTGTGGGCCCTGACCGGGGCTGGGGGATGCTCTTTTCCCAGGGGCTGGGAGCTAGGGGCTCCCTTTCTACCCCTCCTCCCCAGCCAGAGCTGGGAGAATCCCAGGGTGCTGCTGCAACTCTCCTCACCCTACCAAGGCCTGGCCCGGGCTCAAGGAGAGCACAGATCCCCCTTGTTTCAGCAAGAAAAGAGAGGCACAGAATGCGCCACAGTCCGTCCTCTGTTACCCGCTGGATGCACTGGAGTCGACGGGCACAGGACTCTCTGCAAAGATCCTGCTTGCTTTTCCCTGCTGGAGGTGAGCTCTGGAATGGAGACCCTTTAGACACCCCAAGGCACAACCTCCTGAGCCCACCCGAGTGGACGAGCCATCCCCAGAGGGCACATCTTCTGGAAGGCGGGAGGGCAGTGGCATGGCAAGCCTTCCTCAAACGCAATCCTGCAACCACAAATACAGCTCTGCCCTGGGGACAGGGCTAGTGGCTCAGACCCTGGGACAAAAACGTCCTAAGAGCCAAAGTGCCCACCTGGTGCAGGGAGTGGGCAGGGTCTCGGGCGTGGGGTGGTGGGCCAGACCCAGCAGGAGGGTCCTTGGGAGAGCAAAGAGTGCTTGGGGCAGCACCGTGCACCTGGAGAAGCCTCTGGTTGGCTGTGTGTGTTTTGATCCCATTTTTTGAATGCTTCGGGCAAACCAGGTGCTCCTGCTGAGTCCTCGTCTGCTTGTGCTGTCAAAGAGGCCCTGGGCTGCTGTGTGGGGCAGTGGGTGGCGAAGGGAATCAGGGAACCACAGAATCATTTGGATTGGAAAAGCCCTTTAAGATCACCAAGCCCAAGCATTCCCCTAACCCTGCCACCCCACCACTAAACCCTGGCCCTAAGCACCTCGGCTGCCTGGCTTTTAAATACCCCCAGGGATGGGGACTCGACCCCTGCCCTGGGCAGCCCCTTCCAGTCCTTGACAGTCCTTGTGGGGAAGGAATTTTTCCCAATGTCCAATCTAAACCTGCCCCGGCACAACTTGAGGCCATTTCCCTTCGTCCTAGAGAGGAAATTTAAGATTTCTTTTTAAATGCAAAAGGGTGCTCTCAGCACAGCCAGCCTGAAGGGGAGGCTTTGCCACCATCACCTGCCATGCTTTCCTGCCGGCTGGGATCTTTCAAGCAGGCTCCCTTGCAGGTGGGATGGGTCAATGCGCTACTTTGGGAGTCAGAAACCCCGCAGGTTTGAACCCCGTCCTGATACAAGCCAGGATGCTCTTGGCCCTCTTGGCCACCTGGGCACCCTGCTGGCTTATATTCAGCCGCCTGTCGACCAACACCGCCAGGACCTTTTCTGTCGGGCAGCTTTCCAGCCACTCTGCCCCACGCCTGGAGCGTTGCCTGGGGTTGTTGTGACCCCTGTAGCAGGGGACAGTCCTGGTGTGGGAGGGAGAGCGGCTGAGGCAGAGCAGCTGCTTGAAGAGGGACAGGGTGAGGGTCTTGGAGGGGGCTGCTTGGCTATGGAGTGTGAGAGTCCATGGGGCTCTCACCTCTGTCCCAGGCAAGGTCTCCCACTTGCCCAGCTTTTACAAGGAGGGCTGTAACCCCAAAACATCGCCGGGCACTAAAGCCTCGGCAACTGCCTCTGCTTGTCCAAGAATTCAAAAGCAAGGCTGAGCATGGTTTCCAGCTGGAGGTCCAGCAGGAGAGGACCCAAACCCAACCGTGGGCTGCAGTGGCTGCCTGGGTGGGAAATCAGCTCGGGAGCAGGGCCTGGAGGTGGGAAGCGTTTGCCATGTGCTGGAGAGCTTCCCCGCTGCATGGGCAGCAGGTCCAGCCAGAGCCTTGCACCAAGCCCAACAGGCGACCCCGGGGGCCGAGCACCTCGGGCTGGCTGCCTGTGCAGGAGCTGCGGTAGGAAGGGTGGGTTGGCCTCTCCCAGGATGGGACGTACCAGGCTTGCTCTGCTCCTGGCAGCCTTTGGCTGCCAGAACGTGACCACCGAGAAAAGGTTTTCAGTGTATTTGGTGTATTGGGTTTGCGGGGCTAAGTTTTGGTAGCGGGGGGGCTGCAGGGGTGGCTTCTGTGAGAAGCTGCTGGAACTTTTCCCTGTGTCCACCACTGGCCAAGGCCAAGGCAATCAGTGACAGTGGTAGTGCCTCTGGGATAGTGTATTTAAGAAGGAAAAAACCTGCTGGAGAACAGCAGCTGGGGAGAAAGGAGTGAGAGGATGCGAGAGGAGCATCCCTGGTCAGTGCAGTAGGAGGGCAGGAGGTGCCCCAGGCGCCGGAGCAGAGATTCCCCTCAGCTCCTGGGGCTGCCCACGGTGGGGCAGGCTGTGCCCCTGCAGCCCAGGGAGCCCACGGGGGAGCAGATCTCCCCCTGCAGCCCGGGGAGGACCCCATGCTGGGGCAGGGGGTTCCCAAAGGAGGCTGTGACCCCATGGGAAGCCCACGCTGGAGCAGGCGCCTGGCAGGGCCTGTGGCCCCACAGGGACCCACGCTGGAGCTGTCTGCTCCCGAGGGACTGCACCCCATGGGAGGGATGGACCCACGCTGGAGCCGTGCGTGGAGGGTTGTCTGCTGTGGGGGGACACCAGGCTGGAGCAGGGAGGAGTGTGAGGAGTCCTGCCCTGGGGAGGAAGGAGCATCAGGGACAGCGTGTGATGAACTGACCCCAACCCCATTCCCAGTCCCCCTGTGCTGTTGGGGGAGGAGGGAGAAAATACAGGAGTGAAGTTGCAGGGGGGGGGGAAGGGTTTTTAAGATTCAGGGTTTCTTTTATCCTCTCCTAGTCTGATTTGACTGGTAATAAATTAAACCAATTTCCCCAAGTGCAGTCTGTTTTGCCCATGTCGGTAACTGGTGAATGATCTCCCCCTGTCCTTAGCTCGACCCATGAGCCTTTTGATATATTTTTCTCTCCCCTGTCCTGTTGAAGAGGGGGAGTGATAGAGCGGCTTTGGTGGGCCCCTGGCGTCCAGCCAAGGTCAACCCATCACAGTGTGTTTGTCATGAAGCTGTGCTGGTGAATGAGGAAGGGGCTGTGGGAAGGCGTGGGCTGTGGATCTGGAGAGCCAGCCCATCCCTCTCTTCCCTGTATGATATAGGCATAACCCCGCGTTCACCAGTGCTCCTCTGGAGCGTTGTCTTTGTTTTCTAGGTTCCTGAAATCCTACGGTCAGACTTTGCGGGCATCGCTTGTACCTCCCGTGGAAGACAACAGGAGGCGGACTACGCAAGTACAATGTTCCACATAAGGCCAAGTGCTGGGAAATGCCAGGTCCTGGGTGTCTCAAAGCTAACGCCCCAATCTTTTTCTCTTAGTTTCTCCGAACCTCAGCTGCCGTGGCTGAAACAGTCAGGCAGGGCTGTAGCTGCTGGGCAAACCCCCAGTGCTCGGTGCTGAGGGCGTCTTCAGGGAAGCAAAGGTAGAAATGCATGGCTGTAATTTGGCAAAGGCAGCCTGCGCCTGTCCTTGGAAGTGCCACCGAATTTCTGTGAGGGCCGCATCCTGGCACGGCAGCTGGCTGCCTCCCGCTCTTCGGGCTCCTGGTCCAAAAGCAAGGGCTTTTCTAGGTGCCCCCCATTTGTCTGTGAAAATTGCACAAACTGCAGCAATAGATTTCTGCCTCGCCGTGTGCTTAGAAACTGTCGGTGTCTCTCTGCTGACATTTACCAAAAATATTAATCTGGAGGCATATCCTGATGTATAAATTTCAGTCCAGGGATTTCAATGCACTATGACAAGCTGCTCTACAGACCTTACAGTCCTTTAGGACTGGTTATCATGGGGATCAAATATGAACGGTCCCAGAGGATGCAGACTAAGGGTCCATCTAGCCTGGCCTTAATATCTCCAGATATGGCCACAGCAGACCCTTTGAAGAGAAAGGCAAATACTTGTGCTGCCTCCTCTGAGGGTGCTCCCAGCCTCCAACCATTCTCATTTTACAAATCTTCTTGAGCTTATTGCTTTGAAATGCAAGCCCTGACTCTGACACATGGAAATTTCCTTGTAGTCACCGGGTCCCTCGGCATGGAGCTCCTCCTGGGAAGAGCTGCTTCCTTCTGTTGATGCTGAACCCAACGCTTGCCAGCTCCGTCTGGTGGCCCATGGCTCTTGCTCTGGCAGAGGCGGTGAATAATCGCTCGTTGTCCCTCGTTCTAGGCCACTCATCATTTTGCAGACTTCAGTTCCTCTGAGATCTTGCTTGTCTTTCTTGGAACCTCACCACCCTGCAATTGCTGGCTTCCCCCAGCCGTTCTCTTTCTGTTTCCAGCTGATTTGCTCCCAGTTCAAACCAGTCTCCCACATCAGTGGCCTGGCCGCTCCCCGGGGTGCCGCGATCCCCAGACATGACTGCAGCCTAAGGGCCGGGGTGGAGGAGCCAGTTGCCTCCCACATCCCAAATCTGCTCTGGCGATGGATCCAAAGACACCACGTGTGGTTTCTATTGAAAGCTGAAACACACCATAAGGCAGAGGTTTTACAGAATCCATAAATAGCTACTGTTGAGGATGTATGATATGGAGGAGGTTTTAGAAATCAAAATATTTAGAGATTTGCATTATTTGTCTTGGCAGGAAGGAGCAGCCAAGACTGAAATATGAAATCTTCCTTCAAGGAAGGAACAGAGTTGAGGAAAACAGTGAACAGGGAGAATAACAGAGGTGTCAAAACCTCCAAGAATTCCTTGTGCGATGAATGGAAGCGGGAAACGCAGCCTGGTGTATCTGAAAGGAGAGAGAATTCATTGAACAAGCCTAGGCATGTTTATATTCCTGATACTGATTTTTCAGAATGAATCCTGACATTTCCATCCAACCCATATTTGAATATCACAAGAACATCCAGAACATTCAGCTAAAAGCAGCTCCAAGCTGGGCTGTGTTGGTGTGAGCTGCATCAGCGAGGACGTCTCCAGCTCATTCCCCAGCCTGTTCTCCTCCTCTCAGGTTTATTCTGGTCCCTGTGTGGAGATGTGTAACAGGAACGTTAAGGTTGGTCAGAATGGGGAATGTGTACAAGTGCTGGGTCTGAAAGCACCGGTGGAAATGTCAGGAGCAGGGATACCCCGTGGTGGCAGCCCAAGTTAGCAGGTCATCAGGGCCTTGTGATCATCTTGTCTCATCTCAATCTGACCTCAACCTTGTCTCTCTATGTGGTTTCTCTGTCTCCAAGCCCGTTTCCAGCACCCCCAGCCTCAATCTGCTGTCTGTTGCCGCAGGCAGGGTGTCAGCCTTGGCCTGTTCATTGTGTTCGGCACCTCAAGCTGTTAGGGCTCGTCTCGGGCAGCACGTCTGTGGAGGGTTGACCTTGGCTGGATGCCAGGTGCCACCAAGCCGCTCTATCACTCCCTCCTCCGCAGGACAGGCGGGGGGG